AGTGAGTCATTAAAGATTTAGTATCAGTGCACATATCATCGCGGTGGAAATTCTACCGAACAAGAAAATTAATATTAATACTGTGCGTGAGCGTGCGCACACACACACACATTTTTAAATATTATTGATTCTTTAATATTATTGTCGTTAATTTTAACCCGATATTACGTCAAAAGCTCACTCAATTCCGCAACCGTATGGAATAAGTTATTCTCCGTAACATCGCTCATTTCTCTTGAAACGAAGCGACGTTAACTACACAGCCACAAGGCATTTGATTTCAGGCATAATGAGTTAGTATAACGGACGGACACACGGAGCATAATAATAGTGTACAATTCATTTACGAAATCACCGAAGAAACGAACACAATGGAACGGGGAAAATAGGGTCACGATGCAATAGATACCACATTCCTCGTGGTGAAAATGGCCTTAGATTTACAAAAAAACGAACCGAAGATGGAACTCATCACTTCATAGACCAAAAGTGCATGAAAGTGAAAGATATCTGAAAATATCACCACGCAGTATTTTTGCTTCTGACTGCAATGGCCATCATGAGCCTTGAAATGGAAAAGTTTGTAGCCTTATCTTGCAGACAGAGAAAAGAAAGTGATTTTTGAGGGGAATTCATTCCTATACTCCCATTATCTCTGTATTTCTCACTGATTAATGAGGTTAGTATCTTATTACCATTATTTTCATTGTCATCCTATTTCTTTTAATTTCTGTTGCTACCATAGCTTCTTTGTTATTTCTAGGAAACACTTTAATAAGCACAATATTATCTTTGCCTTGCTTATGTAACCGGAACAAATTCGCTAAAACCAATATTATCAGCAGCGTTTGTACAGTTGTTCGAGCCACTTTAACACTTCAGTATGAGCAGTATTCCTTGCAGCTTCGTCTGTTCATAGCGCTTGCATAAAGTTAAGTCCATCAGTACCTGATATCGCAGTCAGAGTGCAAGCACTTACGCAAGCAAGGGGGAGGGGAGGAGGAGAGAAAGAGAGAGAGAGAGAGAGAGAGAGAGAGAGAGAGAGAGAGAGAGAGAGAGAGAGAGAGAGAGAGAGAGAGAGAGAGAGAGTGGGGGGCAGTATGTATGTGTATGTGTGTGTGTGTGTGTGTGTGTGTGTGTGTGTGTGTGTGTGTGTGTGTGTGTGTGTGTGTGTGTGTGTGTGTGTGTGTACATATATATATACATATATATGTATATATATATATATATATATGTATATATATATATATATATATATATATATATATATATATATATATATATATATATATATACTCACACATGCGCATGTAAGAACATGCAAAACATATTTTAATAACCCTGTGAACATATGCCTACAAATATCTATCCAGACCAAATTGGTTAATGGCACACTGACAAAGGTCCCGTTGCCAGCATCACTAATCGGTCCCAGACCCCTAAATCAACGCCCCCTCCCCCCTCTCCTCCCCCCCCCCCCTTTTCCCGGGCAACCCTTCCATACCAGCCTCACCAAGCACACCGCCAGGCACATAGTATGACTGATATTTTGAAAAGAAATCGCAAAAAAATATTTATAAAAGAGAGGCATTATTTCTAGCCGGCCGGGAAATTGGTCGCTCGAAGTTTTTGGTGAATTTCATCATTAACGATTAATAAGAACGCCACAGGAGGTTTTGTGTGTTCGGAGTGGAAGGGATTTGTACAGTGAGGGCCCCCCTGTGCACGCACATGCACATATACATGTATATGTATGTATATATATACATGTATATATAATATATATATATATATATATATATATATATATATATATATATATATATATATATATATATATATATATATATATGTATATATATATATATATATATATATACATATATACATATATATATATATACAAATGTATATAAATATTGATATCTTTCTACCTATCTATCTATCTATCTATATATGTATATATATATATATATATATATATATATATATATATATATAAAAGAAACATTTATATATCTATATATATATATATTCTATATATAAATATACATATATATATACATATATATAGATAGATAGCTCTAGATCGATAGACTGAGAGCTAGATATAGACATAGATATAGATATACATATATTAATATACATATACACAAACGCGCGCACACACACACACACTCACACACACACACACACACACACACACACACACACACACACACACACATACACACACACACACACACACACACACACGCATATATATATACATATATATTACGTACCTACACACATACATATAGGTAGATGGATAGATAGATACAGTTATATATATATATTTAAATGTTATATATATATACATGTATATACATGTATATATATATATATATATATATATATATATATATATATATATATATATATATACATATATACATATTTGATATATACATATACAAATGTGTGTGTTTTGTCTTTATGCATGGTACATATAAACATATCACCCAGCAAAGCCACACATGCATTTATATCTGCATATATACGAGTCTCACAGGCAGAGTCTTTCCCCATAAGGAATTTTGCGCACTTGGGTCATTTTGCTATTGCTATTTCGTGACGTCATTGACATCGTCACTCCGACACTCTGGCGTCACAAACATAAACAGAAACATAAACAGAAACAGAATATATTTAATATTTTCACTCCCTGGCGATCGACTGTTTTCTTTCCGTTGCTTCGATCACGAACCACAGAGTAACCTTTTTTTTTGTAATATCAAAATCAAACATTCCTAAAAATGGAACAGCAGTAACGACGGCAAAATACTACAATAATAATCCTATGACTTTATAAAAAAAAATGTATACAGTTTTATAATTTATTTCATTATGCAGTCAGACACGTAATGTAACCAACATCGCTGATTAGTCAAGACTTAGTTTAGCCATGACATGACTGGCTGGTATCGGTGACAAGGAAGGTGACGTTATGAGAATGCCAGATACAAGGTAGCTGGTACGCCAAACTCAGCGAGATTGTGCGCCTGATCTATATGTGTATATTTTATAGGTGTATATTTTACATGCATATGTATGTATATATATGTAAATATGTATGTGTGTGTTTGTGTGTGTTTATAAGTTTTATATTCTAACTTCACTATCAACCTCCATTACTTCCTTTGTCATCATTATCTTACTATCATTAATTATTATAATTATCCTTATTAACATTATCATTATTGTAATCGTTAATATCATTATTACTGTCTTGTCATTAATATCAACTACAATTACTATTATCATTATCATCATAATCATTATATCGCCATCGTTATCATCATTACTATAATTATCATTCTTTCCATCATCCTAATCAGGGTTATTACTGCTAGTAGTAGTATTATCCCTATTGTCTTTATCATTGCTATTATCATCATTATCATTACCATCATTAATATCATTTCATTATCACCATTAATATCATACCATCATCATCATTATTATTATCATCATTATCATTGTTATTTTCATAATCATTATTATTGTCACTGTTATTTTCATTATCAATATTATTATTTATAGCATTGCCACTACTACTGTTATCATTACTGATATAATTATTATAATAATTATCAATATTAGCCTTTTCATCAACACTAACAACATAATGATTTTGATTATTACCTTATTACAATTCATTCATGACACTTTCATTATTACAGCTGATAATATCATTGCAATTGCTCCACTTACTCTAATTATCATAATGATCAGTGCCACCAATGCCGTTACAATCATCGTTGTGCCATATCAAAGTGCCATCTCAATCGTAAACATATTCATCAAAAACTTTTTTATTATTATCAATTCTTTTAATGTCATTTTCGTTAACAAAATAATGTCATTATCTGTTTTCTTACTACCGTTACTATTAATAAAGATAGCAATGTACTGATGATACATATTAATGACATTCTATTAATATCTACCGTAAGTTTTTTTTTTCATCTTAATATTTTTTTTATTTTTTCATCTTAATAATCTTATCATCTTCCGAAACTGAAGCGTAAGTAATTTGACGAAAACAAGCTGTCCGCATTTTGTATCAAACTTAGACCAACACTGCTTCGTTTCCTGTTGCACGGAAGTCAACCTCACTAAATGTAAAATAATCTCATTGGCTTCTGCTGTGTGTGGTTTTCAGAACAAATGAAATCAGAATGATTACATTACAATCGTGTATGTATGTGTCCGCGTGTGTGTGTCTTCAAATGCATATTTGTCTGTCTATCTATTTATCTATCTATATAATATGTATGTGTGTATGTATGTATGTTTGCGTGTGTATGTATATATGTATGTATATATATGTATGTATACACACACACACACACACATATATACATATATATATATATATATATATATATATATATATATATATATATTATATATATATATGTAATACATGTATTATAAATATATGATATACATATTATATATATATTATATATATGTGTGTGTGTGTGTGTGTGTGTGTGTGTGTGTGTGTGTGTGTGTGTGTGTGTGTGTGTGTGTGTGTGTGTGTGTGTGTGTGTGTGTGTGTGTGTGTGTGTGTGTGTGTGTGTGTTTGATATGATAATGTATTCCACTCACAACAAATGTAATAACAAGCATGAACAAGTTGTTTTTTTCCGGCTCATCTATTTCGTAACAAAGCGAAGTAAATTCCTTTCAAGTTTTTCCTTCCCAAACGAGCGGGACCGAACTACTGTTAACATGGCTGTCTATAAAACCTAATTATTTCACTTTTTTTTCGAATTGAACAAAACAAGCCTCTTTCATTCCGGCATCGTTTGAAAAGCCCTGCCCACTTGCATAGTTTTTTGTCGTTAATAATTGGAGGTACAGATATTCTGATGTTAATGACTGAAGGTACGGATAATTTCGAAAATGAAATTTCCATCACGAGGAAAGGGAATCATGAATGAACTTAC